ACTTGGAAGGCTGAGGCGGAAGGATCGCCGGAGCCCAGCAGGTCGAGGCTGCAGTGGAAGGGAGCGGCCACTGCACTCCAATCTGGGTGACAGAGTGAGACTCCAACTCAAAAAAAAAAATAATAATAATAATAAGTAAATAAATAAATACTGAAAAACAAATCTAGATGATACTACCTACTACATATCTAGGGTGTATAATATAGCTTATTGCTCCTAGGCTACACACTTGTTTAGCATGTTACTGTACTAAATTGCGTGAGGAACTACTAAGACAATGTGGTTCTTTTTTTTTTTTGAGTTGGAGTCTCACTCTGTCGCCTAGACTGGAGTGCAGCAGCACACTTCCGGTTACTGTAATCTCGACCTGCTGGGCTCTGGCGATCCTTCCGCCTCAGCCTTCCAAGTAGTCAGAATTACAGGCATGCGCTACCACGCCTGGCTGATTTTTTGATTTATTGGAGAGATGAGGTCTCGCTGCCCAGGCGGGTCTCAAACCCACGGGCTCAGGCAATCCACTCACTTCAGCCTCCCAAGGCACAGGATTACAGGTAGAGCCACCCAGCCCGGCTGACAATGTGGTTCTAAAAATAGAAAAGTCATACTAAAAATATGATACTATAATTTTGTAGGACCACTGCCATACATGCAGTACATCTTTGACCAAAACGTTATGCAGCACGTGACTATATTTACCCATATATCTTTGCTCATTACTTTTCCATTTTGCTTCTTACTCTCTCTCTCTTCTGTGTTCAACTTTCTTCCTTGTTGAAATATATTTTTCAAAATTCTATTAGTCCATTAGTGGTAGAATTCTAGTTTTTTCCTGAAATGTTTATTTCCTCCTCACTTTTGAATGATAGTTAAGATGGATGTGAAATCCTAAGTTGGTTTGTTTTTCTTTCAGCACTTTCCAGAAACTAGTTTCATGATGCTTTGGCATACATTATAGCTATCAGTATAAAGTTCTCTTTTGTAGGTTATTTGTATTTTCTCTGTGGTTGCTCAAGTTTCCTTTTATTCCTTTGTGCTCTGCAACTTCACTACCATGCATTTAGTTTTATTTATACATAATGGGGCTAATTGTGCTTTTAAGACCTCAGTTTCATGGATTTGCAATGATCTCCTCCAACCTCCACCTCATTCCTGCTTCTTGAACAGACAAATTTTCTCAGCATCCTCCTTGGAATTTCCTCCCTCCCTCTCAGGGTCTTGCTCCATCTCCAAATGATTACTGCAAGACTGGCCTGTAACCAAGTTCCACAAAAGTCCCTTTTCACATCCCTTTATTACATTAATTATAACCTCCCAACGAGAGGCCACACCCTCTATCCACAAAGTCACTTTAAGGCAGCAGAGCTATTCTGGGTTGTCCTCCTATAAAATGCGCCTCTTCCGGATGATAGCCAAAAAGTAAGTCAAAGTATCTGGGGCCAAAAGACTGAGAAAAGTGGCACTTTTCATTTAATTTTTAATTTCAATATATTTTCATTTCCTGGAATTCTATTTGTGTCTTTATCAAAATCAATTATTCTTTTTTGTTGTTGTTTTTAGTCCTTTTACCTTTTTCACTTTTTAAAGTCTTTTTAATGCCCATGTGATCAACTCTAAAATATGCCTATTTAATTAGTTCTTAGAAATACTATTTTCCACACCTTTCACAGCTCTGAAATCAGAGTATGTCATACAAATGGAGTCTTAGTGTTGAAACTCTGCTTAAAACCCTTTAATAGTTTTCTATAGCCTTTAGGATAAAGCTGAAAATCACCATGATCTGAGGCACTCCTTGTTCAACCCTTTAAGCCTAAATTCTGGCCATGATTGTATTTCCCATTCTCAAACATGTCATGCTCCTTTCCACTTCAAGTTCTTCATACATGCTGCTGTTCTTTCTATGTAGCATAACTTTCTATCAGTCTTTTCTGCCCACTTAATGCCCAGAATTCCTTCAAAGATCAATTCAAGTCATTTCCTCAGGAACATCTTCCTTCACTGCCCTTCATTCTAGGTTAAATCATTCTCCCCACCCTATTTATATACATTTTTGTAATTTATATACATGGCTCTTTCATAACACCTTATCACAAGTAACATTATATTGAAGCTTATTCCCACAGAATAAGTCTTCAGACGCATTATTCTGTCATGAAAGGGCTGGAACAAAATGCCTTTTCAGTGTTCTATCTTTAGCACCTGACAATCTAGCATAGTGACTTGTTCAATAGCCATTTGCTGAATAAATTCCATGAATGTGTCTTCCTCCTCAGGCCCCTCATAAACGTGTGAGGGAGTGAGTGTGTGTGTGTGTGTGTGTGTGAGAGAGAGAGAGAGAGAGAGAGAGAGAGAGTGTGTGTGTGTGTGTATTCTCAGTAAGCAGTTAGTATTTTCCCCAAGGATAAGTAACTCCTATGACTTAAAAGAAAGGTGAGAACTGAAATTGAGTCTCTGAGTCTCAATTAAGTCTAATACACCCAACACTGACCAATTTGCAAAGGTCACAGTCATTACTATTTTGATTTTTAAAAACAATTTGTGGCTGGGCTCAGAGGCTCACGCCTGTCATCCCAACACTTTAGGAGGCCAAGGCAGGAGGATTACTTGAGCCTAGGAGTTGCAGACCAGCCTAGGCAACACTGCAAGATGTCATCTCTACACAATAAAAAATTAGCCAGGCATGGTGGTGTGCATCTGTAGTTTCGGCTATTTGAGAATCGCCTGAGCCCAGGAGGTTGAGACTGCAGTGATCTGCAGTGCCACATACACTTTAGCATGAGTGACAGAGTGAGTCCTGACTCAAAAAAAAAAAAAAGAAAGAAAGAAAAGAAAAAGAAAACCCAATTTGTAAAACATTCATTGTTAAAAAAAAAAAAAAGCTATCAACAACTCATTTATAGCAAAGTACAAGAAAGAGGAAAAAAGTAGAGGGAACTTCTTTTTCATAAAAAATCTACAACTAATTTTCTTTGAGAATACAAGGAATGAATAGCAATCAAAAAATTACATGGGAATATTACGATTGTTCCATTCCTCATTTTGCCTAGAAGTAATCT